TTGCAGTTCTTAACATGTATTAGTTCTGATGGATTCAAGCTCAATACAATTGTAGCGAGAGCCTTCTGATCCTTATTTTGCCAATTAGTAAACTCTTGGTTACCGGGTTCAGGTTTGATATTGGCTTCATTAACATAATTCCACAGATCACAGTGAATAAGAATCATTTGCATTTGAAGCCTCCATGTCTCAAAGTTTTGCTTATTCAACTTCTCAATTTGATATAGACTGGACATGCTTGATTCTTAATTTCTTAGGCAATCAGTCCTGGGCCCATAACATGTTGAAAAAATAGGAAGGAGAAGGCCGGGAATCGGCTTTAAAGATAGAAAGTTTTATTAAGTTATGCTCTAATTTTACATAAATTTAAAGCACACACAGCTTGCTTTACATACTCCATCACGACAATGGTAGAAATAATTTATATACATGGCGGTCAACTGGTCAAAAACAAATAAAAGAAGAGTAGAATGTTGAAATTGATTATTCCAACAATTGCATTATAAAATAAACATATTTAATTAAAAATTCAATAATTTGTTATTTAAATTAATATATATGATTCTTAAAGAGCAAAATTTAATTAATAACAAATAAAATGAAGTTTTTGGCTTCACATATCAACTCTTCTTGTCAAAAATAAAGCGCTAGCTAATATAATGATTTTTACTTTAAAAATGCTTACGTAACATTTTCTGTATTATTACTGTATATACCAATTTATAGAAAAAAATTGTTATCATGCAAGAACTATGGGTGATGGAAAATTTCTGATTTTTTTTTGAATTCAGCATGAAAAGTTACATTAGAATCAACATCAGGTTTTCTCCGTAAAAAAAAGTTTTTTTGTAGACCTGTGTTATCTATATATCTACTTATATAATTGCCTTATTCTGTCTGTGTGAAGTTCACTGTGTGAAGTTCACGGATAGATTTTGGTCATCAACGCGCGCATCATCATTATGATCGTTATCATTATCTAATGATAATTATTTATTATCTACTTATATAATTGCCTTATTCTGTCTGTGTGAAGTTCACGGATAGATTTTGGTCAGAATGGATAAAATAAAAAAAGTGTCAAGGGATGGGAATCGAACCCACGACCTTCCACTTACCGGGCAAATGCCATGACCACTAGGCCACAAGTACAATACTTAAATGAAAATATGTTTCTTATACAATCTAAAATTATAAAATAGACTTTTAAATCGGTAACCTTTATATATCTACTAGACGAATGGCCCGGGCAACTCCCGGGTTTTACCCGAGTGTGTATATATTTTAAAAATGTTTTAATTAAAATACTATTCGTTACAATTATAAATTGGCGCCGTGGATGTCTCTTTTGTGAAACGTCCCGCCCCAAACTGTGTGTGTCTTGAAAATATAAAAATAAAAATGTGAACGGAAAAATATGTCCAGGGTAGCCTAGTGGTCATGGCATCTTCCGGTAAGCGGAAGGTCGTGGGTTCGATTCCCATCCCTTGACACTTTTTTTTATTTTATCCATTCTGACCAAAATCTATCCGTGAACTTCACACAGTGAACTTCACAGAGACAAAATAAGGCAATTATATAAGTAGATAATCCAAATTGTGCCTTATCACACACTATTTTTTTATTTGGCCTTATTACCTTGTGTTTATATTCTATGACGTAATGCCGGCGGCGCGCGCTCGTTGGCTGCCTGCGAGCACGTGACCTCCCTGTGCGCGCGCATCCGTGACAGAGGCGGCCGATGAGGAATGAGGAAAGACGGTCGTGACTATATATATACTAGACGAATGGCCCGGGCAACGCCCGGGTTTTACCCGAGTGCGTATATATTTTAAAAATGTTTTAATTAAAATACTATTCGTTACAATTATAAATTGGCGCCGTGGATGTCTCTCTTGTGAAACGTCCCGCCCCAAACTGTGTGTGTCTTGAAAATATAAAAATAAAAATGTGAACGGAAAAATATGTCCAGGGTAGCCTAGTGGTCATGGCATCTGCCCGGTAAGCGGAAGGTCGTGGGTTCGATTCCCATCCCTTGACACTTTTTTTATTTTATCCATTCTGACCAAAATCTATCCGTGAACTTCACACAGTGAACTTCACACAGAGAGAATAAGGCAATTATATAAGTAGATAATCCAAATTGTGCCTTATCACACACTATTATTTTATTTGGCCATATTACCTTGTGTTTATAATCTATGACGTAATGCCGACGGCGCGCGCCCGTTGGCTGCCGGCGAGCACGTGACGTCCCTGTGCGCGCGCATCCGTGACAGAACCGGCCGGCCCATGACGGTCGTGACTATATATATAATGGATGGATAATAATAATAATATAATAATAATAATAATAATTATTATTATTATTGAAACAGCAAGTAGGTAAACAGCGTGGTAAGTTTCTTTATTGGGAACTACGAGCTTTCGGACATCAGCTGCCCTTCTTCAGGTACAATGGGTGGTTGGAAAAAGTGAACGAATATATACATGCAGTAAATTAGCATAAGAGAAAGCTAACTAACATCTATTTAAAATAATTAAGAAATTTACATAAGAACTAAAGATAAAAGTACGAAATTTCTAAAAACTACGAAATTTCTAAAAAATAGACTAAAAATCTGTGTATGACAGATAAAAGGTAAAACACGAGAAAAAAGGATGGGAAGACAAGAAAAGCGTAGGCATCTAGGCACAATGAAGGAAGGAAGCGAAATAAGATGTCAGTGGCTAAGTTTAGAAAAAGCAGTATATTGAGGGGGGAGATCTATTTTCCTAATAAAACTAGGGATGGAGTTAGACACGAGAGCCTCCAGGACCAAACGTTGATATTTATTCTTAACTTCACTGTATACCGGAATCGTGTTGCGTAGATTAAAAGAGTGGTTAAATTCGTGGCTGTGTTGATATAGTAGTGACTTACGATCATGGGAACGGATGTTTCGTTCGTGTTCTAGGACACGAGTTGTAATGGTGCGGCCAGTTTCTCCGACGTATGATTGTGGACAGTCGTTGCACGGTATTCTGTAGATGGCATTGGAGAAAGATTGGGGGCTGGGCCTGACGGAGCTTTTTGTGAGGGGATGGCGTAACGATGTACCTAGGGAAGGTGATTTTTTAAAAAACGTGCGGATGCCAAATTTACGCAGATAAAAACCGATGTCGGAATTCGTAGTAGAAAACGGAAGAACGCAAACATCTTTAAACGGGGGAGGAATAGAACTGTCGTGGTTTGGTGTATAAAAATGTCGATCGATAAAGTTACGTGGGTAACCCGCGGATAAAAGGTGTAGGTAAACGATCCGTTTTTCGATTCTACTGAATAAAGGAAGGGAGCAATGAGTAAAAACGCGCTTAGAAAGAGTTTTCACGGTGGTAATTTTATGGGAGACGGGAGCATGTGATGAAAAATGCAAGTAAGAAGGGGTAAAACCGGCTTTACGAAAAACAGTTGTATGGAAACGACCCTGGAGATTAACCACTAAAACGTCTAAGAACGGGATACAATTAAAACGGGAAGAATTGTGGGTAAAACGTAAATCGGAATGATAGGAGTTTAAAACAGTCAGGATAGGGGAGTGGTCAGTGCTCTGATGCAAACAAAAAATGTCATCGACATATCTCGCCCACATTACTACTCCTAGGTGGATCTGGGAAACTAACCATCGGTCCAAATACGACATTACGATCTCAGCTGCGGTTGTAGAGAGAGGGCTGCCCATGGGGGAGCCTCTTATCTGCAAGAAAAAGCGGCCATTAAACTCTAGGGTGTTCATGCCCAAGCAGATGTTGAACAGTTGAATCATTAGATAATGATAATGATCATATTGATGAATGGCGCGCATCCGTGACAGAACCCATGACGGTCGTGACTATATATGTTGATAATAATAATAATATAATAATAATAATAATTATTATTATTATTATTATTTTCATTAGATAATGATAATGATCATAATGATGATGCGCGCGCATCCGTGACTGAGGCCGATGAGGAAAGACGGTCGTGACTATATATATTAACTAGACGAATGACCCGGGCAACGCCCGTGTTTTACCCGATTGAATGTTTTTATTCCAATACTATTTGTTACAATTATAAATTGGAGCCGTGGATCTCACTCTTGTGAAACGTCCCGCTCCAAACTTTACATGTACATCAGGTCAGCTGGTATTACCCCTCATTTTCACCGCTAGAGGCGCGAGCGAATTGACTTTTTGTAAATATACATAATTATAAAGATAGAAGCTTCTATAGAAGATAATGATCATAATGATGATGCGCGCGCATCCGTGACAGCGATGAGGAATTGAGGAAAGACGGTCGTGACTATATATTAACTAGCCGAATGACCCGGGCAACGCCCGGGTTTTACCCGATTAAATGCTTTTATTCAAATACTATTCGTTAAAATTAAAAATTGGCGCCGTGAATGTCATTCTTGTGAAACGTCTCTCCAAACTTTGTGTCTGAGAAGCGATATTTTTATAAAGAGATGATCTGGCTTTGTGTCTTCCGCTCGAATGAATGTTTTTCTGTTAGAATTTTGTTCCTTCATACTAAAAATGAACTGGCTTCACCCGTGGTCTCTGCTTTTTGGATTTTTCCGGATATAATTTTGTATCTGATAATCAAATATGATACAGCAATATTGTCATCATCATTTTCTGAATAAAAAACAACTACTTTTTTCCCCAGAACCTGTCAATTTATTTTTCTTGACTAAAAATCCGAAAAATATCTTTTCCAGATTTTTCTCTATGTCCTGTTAAAACACGCTTTACATGTCTATTAGGTCAGCTGATATTAACTCCCATCTTCACCGCTAGAGGCGCTGCTTGCGAGCGAAAGGGCAAATTTGCAACGCAATTTGCAAATAACTTGTATACATACTTGTATACTTGTGTACATAGACCATAAATCTGTACATAGACAGGAAAAACACAATTATTTTAATAATATAAATGAGTTTTAAAAATTGTAATAAAAAAAAAAAATCCATCAGCCGGTTATCGAACCTGGGGCGCCCGCGTGGCAGGCGAGCATTCTATCACTGAACCAAAAGCAAAGGGTGACAGAATTTTTGATGACTCTGATACTTGTACATTTTAATATATATATATATATATATATGTCATAATTTGTATATAATTGTATGCACCCCCGACCCACTATGCATGTACAATGCATGATTTTCAAAGATTTAATAAAGAATAAGGTAACTGGAGGAAAGAAAGTAGCAACAAGACATAGGAAGTAGGCTTAAAGCGGGCTCAATTATTAATAACTTGTACAGTCAATACTTCCTGACAGAGGCCGGACGTATCTGGTGACCGCAGAAGTTATAAATGTAGAGAGACGCCCAATATTTCCGGAGCAGGACCGGTCGTATTTGATAACCGCGGAAGTTATAAGAGTCGAGCTAACACCCAATACTTCCTGACCAGGCCGGACGTATCTTCCATCAAAGAAAGCCGCAGGACCAATTAGAAAGTATCCCCTAAATAGGTCAACCAATAGAAAAAGGTCATGTGACATCTTTCGACCAATGGGAAGGAAGACAACTCTTGGTGTTAAATCGAGAAGCTAGAATTGTCAGTGGCTCCTTCGCTCCCAACAAGGTAACATCTGCTCTCGAGACCTCCCCGCTCATCCCATAGCTAAGTCAATCACCGCCATGTGATCAGATAATTAACAATCAAAATCGCTCCGCTCTTCTCAAGCTTTCTTTCCTCCAACCCAGTTGCCTTTTATTTTCAAACCCCATCACGTGTCCTGATTATTCCTAACTGTATGCTTCAACTTCCACTCAAACGACTGCGTTTCAATCAAATCTCACCATTCTCATCGAACAACAAGAAATTCCGCAACGATATTGTCACAGAACGGTTAAGTCGACAGGATAAAGATATTATGGAGCTTAATCAGGATCCCATAGGCGTAAAGTCGGACGGCCCAACGGAAACAACGGAAGGAAGGCAAGAAGTAAGAGTGACCGGCCGAGAGACAACTGCGCCCCTAGCGGACGCCGTCACCCAACTGTCGGCGCTCCTGACCCGAGTAAAGATTTCTGATGGAGCTGAGGCGATAATCCCGCCTTTCGATGGCACATACAGCGCGACACAGTTTTTCCAAGCATTCGACCGAAAAATGGAAGACGCATCCATGGGAGAACAAGAAAAATTACTCCGCCTGCCAAACTATCTGGTGCGACAACCCCTGGAGCTCTTCAGGAAACTTCGGATGGCCGACCGGAGCTATTTCCAGGTGAGGCAAACCCTCCTAGATCTCTATCCTGAATCAAGCGAAGCGTCCTTTGCGAAATATTTCGCCATGAAGCTCACTGGACAAGCCAACTTAGAGACCTACTACCGGGAGAAAACCGCCATGGGATTGCAACTAGGACTTCCGCAGGAGGTGATCCTCGAGACGCTGACAGAAGGGCTACCATTCAACGACCAGCGCCTAGTCCGCGTAGTGCCTCCCGAGAACCTAGGAGAGTGGTTCCGACTGGTACAGCGGATCCACGGGCCCAGTGTACCGACAACGCGACCTCGTGAGGATCAACCACCCACAATGTCAGGTCCGTACCACAACCCACCTCGACGCCCAGGTGCATGGAATGCACCTCTTCCGCCGTCCAACTGCAAGTTCTGCGGCGCGAGGCACTGGCACAGCGAATGCCGACATCGACCAGTCCCGGCGACCCACGAAAAAGTGCGGACGGTGCAAACAGTCCCAAAACAACCAGCCCCGATTCCACAAGAACCAAGTCAAGCCAGGGACACCCCAGCCGAGCAGACTTTTCGAGACTGAGGTAGGATCCCTAACCCAACTGACTGTAAAACTTTTTTTAGCCCCTAATATACCATGCCCCTTTTTAATTGATACAGGCGCCAGCCTGAATATAGTGCCATATAATCTTTACCATATGTTGAAAACCCATCTGCCTAATTTAACCCTTGAGGGACATTCACTCCCACAACCCTAAACGGTTTTGCAAAAACCATGGGTAAACTGTCTATCCCACTGACAATAGGACAAATATCCCGAAGAGAGAATTTCCATGTAGTGAATGCACCGTTACCATTTGGAATTCTTAGTATCAATAGCCTCCATAAATTCAGATTAACCATAGATTTTAATAAATGCACTATATTCCAGCTGGGCGCCCCATTATCTACCCCATCCTACCATTTTAACAATGTACCAAATGTATGCACGTACTGGCAGTGTCGGGCGATGTCACAAAGACCTCACCATACAACCAAATCTTCCGCCTATGACAACCATTGCGTGCATTCATTGAAAAACACCCCCTTACCTACATGCCCTTTTTTCACTAAGGCCAATTGCCCTTTTTACATGCCCTCAAATAACCAAGTCACAACGACTTCAACTTGTAAACATGCCCAAAACGCACCCACACAGCGGGACAACTCGCATACCAAGCACATAGGTGATCACACACCGTCGCACAACTACCACATGACCAACCCACACAACGAAATCGACACTCACACTAATACACAACAAAATCCTTTGCCACATGCATACTACAACACAACATCTAACACTCACTATACACCGCAGTTCACAACACTTCTACAAAGATACACTCACATTTTCACACAGAACAAATTCAACGTACCATGCTTACGGATTCCACCAGTAAAAATACCCACGAATTCCGATAAAATAATTACCATACGTCCATATCGTGTTCCGATATGTGACCAACAAGAAATCCGTAATCAAGTCCAACAAATGCTGGAGAACGGCATCATAGAGCAATCTTTTTCACCTTTCTCGAGCCCTGTCACCCTCGTCACTAAGCGCGACAAGACCAAACGGTTTTGTATCGATTACAGGAAGGTGAACGAGCTAATCAGCTCTGATGTCCATCCCCTCCCGAGAATCGAGGATATCCTAGACCGCCTCGCACAGGCCAAATATTTCTCCACGGCCGACATATCCTCTGCGTATTGGCAAGTCCCAATACACCCCGATTCTCGACCACTGTTAGCATTTACCACCCTCGAAGGGTTATACCAACCCACTCGACTACCTTTCGGATTAAAAACCAGCCCTCAAATTTACGAACGAGCCATAAGTCAGGTCCTACAGAGACACGGACTTGACTGTGTGGCACATTACTTTGATGATTTCATCATTTACTCCAACACATTGGAGGAGCATCAAAACCACCTGCGACAATTTTTCGCCTTTTGCGAAGCAGAGAAGCTACAACTTAACTTCGTAAAATGCGAATTTTTTAAGCAGTCCATAGATTTTCTAGGTTACACCATTACAGCTAGTACAATTACACCGCTCACACGTAACACCGACATTATCCACGCCATCAAACAGCCACACAACCGAAAAACACTACAATCCTTTTTAGGCGCTGTGAACGTCTATAACAAATTCATTCCGGAATACGCTCGCTTGCGAGCACCACTCAATAACCTCCTCAAAAAGGATGTCGTGTGGAACTGGAATGAAGTTTGTCAAAAGGCGTTCATTGACCTGAAAGGAAACCTCACACAACACACCATCTTACACCTTTACAAAGAAGGTATACCATGCCAAGTGTATTGCGATGCATCCACCCTCGGTATAGCAGGCATTCTCAAACAAGTTCACCCTGACGGGAACGTATATCCAGTTCAATATTTCAGCCGAACATTGCGCCCACACGAGAAAAACTACTCCATCTCTGAACTTGAGTGCTTAGCAATCGTTGAGAGTGTGGAGAAGTTTCGCATCTATCTTATGGGCAGAAAATTTACTATATTTTCTGACCATCACGCATTGCAGTGGCTGAAAACCATCAAAAACCCGTCCGGCAGACTGTTTCGATGGAGTTTACGACTATCGAGTTACGAATATGAGGTCCGCTACATAAAGGGAAAACTACAATATGAAGCAGATCTCTTGTCCCGTAACCCGTTTTGTGGATTCTTGGACGCCACCCTTATCAAGACACACCAACCTCCTCCATCGAAAGAGTCTAGTTTGACCATTGATCATAATGGATTACATACAGTTTCCCGAAAAGGTGTAACCAAGATTATAATTCCAAAACCACTCATACAACAACTCTTACAAACAGTACACACACAATACAATCACCCCGGTATTTCACAAATGTCACGACTCATCTCCACGCAATATTACTGGCAAGGTATGTCCAAAGATATTAAACAAAAGGTTAAGACCTGCCCCACCTGCCAGTTAACAAAACGACCATTGGGACCCACTTACGGGGAATTAAGTCAGCCTCCGGAAGCCAAAGAACCCTTTGACCTATTATCCCTTGACACCATAGCAGGATTTGCCAAATATGGCAACACCAAAATATACCTCCATGTGGTAGTCGATCATTTTTCGCGCTACGCGTGGACTTTTCCATCTAAATCCACCAGCATCATCACCTACCAACAGGTACTTAAGCGAGTATTACAGGATGGCTCTCCAAAACGCCTTCTTACGGATAGAGCCCCTGCTTTCACTTCGCCAAAATTTCGTAGTTTCCTACTTAATAGAAATATTCACCCATTACTCACAACCAGCAACAATCCACAGGCCAACGGTCTATGTGAACGCCTGAACGCCACCCTCACGGGAAAACTTAGGCTATTGCATCTAGAAAATCCTAAGATTGCATGGACCAAGTTGGTCAAAAGAGTTACAATTATATATAACAAAACCCCACACTCTACCACAGGTTTTCCACCCATCTACTTAATGTTTGGTATCCTACCCCCCGAACTCTCTGACCATAGCACACCTTACCCAGATATCGACAAAGCTAGAAAAATTGCACACACACGCACACAAAACAAGCATTTACAAGACAAAAACACTTATGATCAACGACACAAACAACCACATTTTGAAGTAGGTGATCTAGTGTTAGTAAAATTATATCACCACCCAAATACAGGGAAACTTGCGCCATATTTCACAGGACCTCACACAATATTAGAAATTATTTCACCAAATGTGGTCCGTATAGATCGACCAAATCAACCACTTCAAAGAGACACTGACACGATTCACGTCAACAAGCTTAA